GCTTGTTTTACCGTCCTCAATCCCATTTAGCTAAGCCAATGGATACACTGGTAACACGGACGTTATCATCGTGCCCGTGCACACATGAATGCTCTGGCCATTCGCATGCACTAGTAACACAGACGTTCTCATCGTGCGGACATGGATGCTTTGGCCATTCGCACGCACCGGTAACACGGACGTCATCATCGTGCGGACATGGATGCTCTGGCCACTCGCACGCACGGTAACACGGACGTTCTCATCGTGCGGACATGGATACTTTGGCCACTCGCGCGCACTGGTTGCACGGACGTTCTCATCGTGCGGACATGGATGCTCTGGCCATTCGCACGCCCTACTCCTACTCCTACTCCTACTCCTACTGCTACTGCTACTGCTACTGCTACTACTACTACTACTACTACTACTACTACTACTACTACTACTACTACTACTACTACTACTACTACTACTACTACTACTACTCCACTACCACTACCACTACCACTACCACTACCACTACCACTACCACTACCACTACCACTACTACACTACTACTACTACTACTACTACTACTACTACTACTACTACTACTACTACTACTACTACTACTACTACTACTACTACTACTACTACTACTACTACTACTACTACTACGACGACTACGACTACGACTACGACTACGACTACGACGACGACGACGACGACGACGACTACGACTACGACTACGACTACGACTACTACAACTACTACTGCTACTACTACTACTACTACTACTACTACTACTACTGCTACTACTACTACTACTACTACTACTACTACTACTACTACTACTACTACTACTACTTCTACTACTACTACTACCACTACTACTCCTACTGCTGCTACTGCTTCTGCTACTGCTACTGCTACTGCTACTACTGCTACTACTACTGCGACTGCTACTGTCGGCTTTTGCTTTAGCTCGCAATTCACTACCAAGCAGGCCTCGGTCCAGTTGATGTGCCGCTGCGAGAATTGCTGTCTTCAATGCGTTTTGTGGTGCTGCCTGAATTTGCCGGTGTGCCTCTGTAGCCAGAGTTCACACGTCGAGTTTGATAAGGTATGGTCGATGAGGCGGAATGACTACATTGGCGGCAAAGTTCTGGCCATGGGCTTGGAATGGCTTGGATTGGACGCACCTCAATGAAAAGGCTCTACCCAGAAACAAGACCTACCCTTTGCGGATTGCCAGGCAGACATTCGGTCAACAGGAGCAAGAGAGGCCATACGCAAGATTGTTACCGCGAACTACGCCAAGCTGGTTTTGGCAAGGTGTTGGGCAACAGTAAGAAAAACTTGGAGGTTCATGTTTGCCAGACGACACTGCTGTTGGCAAACGCGCAGGCCAGTGCAAGACACATACGCACGTGCATGCAATTGACACATCCTGGCACCTGCTCTGAATGCAGCAGGATACTTTTCCCGCCGTCTACCGGAACATTTCTCCGGAGGCCGGCCCATGTAAACGCTTCACAGCCAAGCACAAGCGCCGAAAGCTCTATGCCCGAAGCTGAGCGGCAATGTGCAAGCGACAACAGCCCGGTCATATCGCACAATCATATGCGAATGCCTGAGCCACACAACGCAGTCGCACAACTTTCCTGAAAACGCGGAAAGCGAAGGGCATGAGGGGCCAACCTGACACACTGCGACACTAGCACCGCGCTCAGACACCACGCACGGCTGCTTATGAAAAGAAAAAGAAGTCGACATCGAGGGAGAAGAGGGGTGAGGCACGGAGAATTCAGCCTGGATTTACATGGGTCTAAAAAGGCTGAATATCTCCTGGCGACACCGCGGAAAGGGGTCGGCATTCGTTTTGTTCGTGTTTTTCCGTGCTGCATTTTGCGTTTACAAGCCTCAAGGCAGCAAGCAAGCAGGCAAGCAATGGAAAAGAGCTCAAACACCAATCATCAAGCGAGCAAGCAATCACGGAAAAGAACAACGGAAGCAATGTAAGCAAGCAACCGTAGGGCAAAAAGACAGACAGCGGAACGCAAAGGGCAAGCGAGCAAGCAAGCAAGCCCTGCACACGCAGGTACCAACAAAATCGCAAGGGTCAAAAGCAAGAGAAGACAAGCCAGTGCAGCAACCTAGCAAGCCAGCAACCCCTCCTTATTTAAGCTGCGTGAGCTTGCTTTATCAAAGAGCACCATGCCGCCAAGAGGAAGCATCGTGTCGGTTGGGGCCCTGCCACCCTAACCCGCGGTTTTGTTAAGCCCCAAGCCTGCTTTAAAGACATCATGCCGTCAAGAGGAATTGCTTCAAACCCCTAAAACCTAAAGCTCCATTCCAAACTCGTCATCTAAGCAAGGGGGGCTGCGCCAACCCCTCCTCCCCCATTGCTATGCCGCACAAGCTTGCTTACAGAGAATCCTGCCACCAAGAGGAATGGCCTCAGAACCCTTTGCCAAACCTGTCACATGCAGCATTGCGTTTGAAGCTGGAGTTCGGCGAGCTGAGGATGTGGGTTGGTTGAGTTGGATGTGTCTCAGATCGCGTCAGGGCGACCTGTTTGTCTACTCTTCAGCAGAACTGGAACTGGGGCCTCTTTTCGCAGGGATGAGGGATCGCCATGCTGACCTGGGTTACACCCTGTTGTCAGCGCTGGTAGAGCCCATCCTGCATGTCCCGCCAGGCAAGTTGTCTGCGATGGGCATGATTCGGGCAGGAGTAGCTGCCCCAGACAAAGTTGTGTCTTTGTTGCTGTCATTTGTGTTGGAGCATGTTGAAACATGTTGAAACATGTTGAACACTTTTGAGCACCTAAGGAACTGTTCACAGTCTATGAGGTAAGGCAAGGGATTGAGTACGGGCTCCTTGGGCCGCAGAGTTTTGCAAAGGCTTGCATGATGCATCTTTCGAGGTGTTTGTAGAAAGTGATCATGAGAGTCGAGAGTCGGCAGCATTAGGGCATTGGCAAGGTTTTGTTTCGGCCGCATCAAGTTCAAGGGCCAGGAGAATCCTGCAACGTGGGTCGTGCTGGGCCTTCTCATTGAACCTGCAGGCCAGCAACCTCGCTGCCATTCGCAGTCAGAATCCGGTAAAAAACGATGAGGGGTGATCAAAAAACAGAGGAAGAGTTTGTTCACCTGCGGCAAAAAGTCAGGCATCAAATTCACCACGAAGGACCGCAAGCCTGAAGAACTAACGTTTTCAGACGCAGCTTGGCACGCCATAGCAAGTCACCGCGTTGCCGATTGAGAATGTGCTACTAGGCCGGTGCTTGAAACTGTCAAGCCGAGGCTGAGCGAGTTAACGTCTAAATGGCTGGTCGCCAGGTTTCACTTAGGAAAATCAGTGCAACAATGTGCAACAATGTGCAACAGGCACAGACCGTTGCTAAAACATGGTCCAACAATGGTGTTGTTGCTGTCATCACTGCAGGAATCCACTTTACTGGCATTTACCGATGCCTTTCATCGTCTCCTTTGCCAACGGCCGCCAAGCGGCTGCTTGCCTTGGCACGAATTGAGTTGGTGCACGCACAGCAGGGCACAAAGGCAGAAGTGTACATGGGCGAACACCTGCTGAGCGCTTGTCGGGGTTAATTGCACTGTGCGAATCGGGCCATTTTGGCCGGCAGGGCAGACTCCAGCAACAAAACAACTGGCTAGGAGATTTACACGCAAGTGCCGAAGCTTCGCGAAGAGCTGGGCACCCTGACGTTGCACAAATACTATACAGTACATGTAGCTACTGCCTTGAAGTTCAAGAAGTTCCAAGAACCTGCAAGAAGAAAGTGCTTCTCAGCTTCTTTCCATTGCCCAACGTGATGATGTCCAATGAGACAGTCCGCGCTTCGATGGGACGAGAGTTGCGGGCTTGCGCTGGGCTGCCTCCAACCCCACCGCAGCACTCCCCACGAGTGTTGACGACGGATGTTCCCGATTTAAATCCGATTGCTTTCGAGTCTGTCGAGGGCTGGGACTCCAGGCATTCCGGTGGGTTTGACCAGCGAGGTCAGGGAGCCTATCCGAGCTGGCATCAGTGTGGAGATGATGGTGCTTTGCTCGAGTGTGAAAGCCGCGACGCACGCGCCAGCACACGTCACGCTTCTAGCTCCGACGCGCCACGGCGAGACATTTGGAGCAGAGCACGTTTGCCTTCAGGAAGATTGGCGCAACAAGAATTCAGCAACCAGGAGGGGGCGTCGGGAAGCTTTCAGACTCGGCACGGAGAGCCGCATGCCAACATGGCCAACACTTCACCAAACCGCCTAAGCCTCTGTTTCTGCCACGAAGACGAGGCGCCCTTGCCGTGCGGACTTCTTCCATCACAGCTCTCAGATATTCTTTTCCGTGAGATCACACCTGAGGACTATGACGTTCTGCTACAATTGGACACACAACTGTCGAGGCTGTCGAGTGATTCGGATGCTGCTGGTCTTGCTGAGATCCTGGCATTTCTTTCTGTGGATGCGGCAGATATTGACCAGGTCACCTGCATTGTTTGTCTAAGCCAGTGCGAAGGCACACAGAAAATCACCAGGCTACCCTGCGACCATGTGTTCCACACAAGCTGCATTTCACAGTGGCTCTTACAGCGCAAGCCTATTTGTCCCCTGTGCGGTCAGGAGGTTCAACAGCTGTAGCTGTGCACTTCCTCACTACTGCGCGGCGTGCGGGAGATGTCCAGCTGGCAAAAGTCGGGCATTGTGTTCTAAGCCTAAGCGCGAGACACGCGCACGTGCATGCACCTTGTCCACGCAGCGCTTGATTTCTTCGGCTCGAGCTTTAGGCACGTTCCGGTGCCATCCATGGGAAGTGCGAACATGTGGTGCAATGTGGTGCGGGCAGGACAGGATGTTCAGCGTTTTCAGCAGTTCTAGTCAAGAGAGAAAGAAAGAGAGAAAGAGAGAGAGAGAGAGAGGGAGGCAGGGCGCCCTTCGGGGCGGCTCCCCTCTGGGGGGCCTAGCGTGTGGAGAGAGAGAGAGAGAGGGAGGCAGGGAAGAAAGGGAGGCAGGGAGGGAGGGAGCGAGGGAGGGAGGGAAGGAGGGAGGGAGGCGGCAGGGAGGCAGGGAGGCAGGGAGGGAGGTGAATCCCCCCGCCCTCCCCCTAGAACAACTTGTTCGAGCCTCTGCTCGGTGGCTTTGACAGGTCCCTTTATTGTCTCTGGTACGGGTCCCCATACTGTCTCTGGCAATCAAGGGCAAGCTCTGTCTTAAAAAATGCGCCCCGTCGCGTCGAGCTATGTTCCTTTGTGGGTTATAAGAGAAAGTTAAGAGGGGAGAGTGAGTCCCCCCCCCCATAGGGCGCACTGCTCAACGGCTTTGACAGGTCCCTCCTCTGTCTCTGGTACGGGGCTACGGCGGCTACGGTCTAGCTCTGGCAATCAAAAACACGCCCCGTCTTCCTCTGCGCACTCCAATCCACTCTCTGTTTTTCTCTTTCTTCCTCTATCCTTAAGGTCCCACCACAATTCCCCCCAGCGGGGGGGGGGGGGGCAAAATAGGCCCAGGCCTATTTCAAAAAAAAACATGCCTTGGGGGGGTCGGGGGACTCTTCCAGAGGTATGATTTGTGTTGCAGTGTTATGGGGACATCACCACTTAAGGCGCCCCTGTTTTTCGATGCTCTGGAAGAGCAAGAGCACCGGTGGGTGGCCGGGTCTTCTGGGGGGGTTAACTTTCTCGTATAAGACATAAAGGATAAAGGATCAGAAAGCAACCTAGCTCGACGGGCGTATTTCTAGGCTTTGAGCTTGCCATTGATTGCTAGACTTTCGCTGAAAATCCACAAAGGAACCTCGTTCGACGGGGAGTATTTCCCGGCTTGGAGAAAGCTTACCATTCATTGCCAGAGACAGTATGGGGACTTGGAGACTTTACAGCAGGCTGGAGCACGCCCCAATGGGGGGGGGGGACTCACTCTCCCCTCTTAACTTTGTCTGATAACCCACAAAGGAAGCTAGCTCGACGAGGCGTCTTTCTAGGCTTCGACAGGGCTTGCCAAGGGCTGTAAAAGCCAGAGCAGAGGCTGGAGCTCGCCCTGGGGGACGGGGGGACTCACAGGCTCGACGGGGCGTATTTCAAGGCTTAAACGAAGATCTTGCCATTCATTGCCAGAGACAGCACGGGGCCCGTACCAGAGACAGTAGAGGGACCTGTAAAAGCTGTTGAGCAAAGGCTGGAGCGCACCCCGTGGGGTGGGGCCTTCTTAACTTTCTCTCTACACCCAAGGAACCTGGCTCGGAATTGAAGAGAGAGGAATCCCGAAGCCCTCAGCAGAAGGAGAATTGTGCGCTCTCGCCGCTTGGCCTGGGCACAACCGGGGTCCCCTGTACGGGGCCGTGGGCCCCACCCTTTTTATACCAGCAGAAGAAGAAGAAGAAGAAAAGCCGGATACCCCAAGTCGGGGTGCGCAGCGCAGAGTCTCTATAGTCTATGCCCCGAGACTCTAGACAAAACTATTCTCTGGCAGCACGCTTTAGAGTCGGGTGGTACCTTGTCTGGCTAGGGGCAGTTTCACACCGACCTTCTTGACCTGAAGTTGCTTTAAGTCGCTGCTTCTTGACAGGCCGTGCGGAGCAGAGGATGGAGCAATCCAAGCTTCCGACATGTGCGAAGGACTTTGGACTTTCGTCTTCCGACATGTCCGTGTCTGTATATGGCTGTATGTCGGCGGACTGTAGGTCCTTAGGCGATTTTTGTTACGTATGTTACAACGCTCATGCTTTGGGGGGGGTTCATCAGGACATGCTTCCAGGTCTTGCGGATTGCCTTTGTCATGTTGTTGAAGGACTTTACGCGGCTGATCGTGAGCTTGGGCAGGCGGAGGTTCTGGCAAAAAGCTGCGGCAGTTCTGTCAGAGGCCGGAAATGAACAGTTGGAACCCAAGTCGGCAACAAACAATGACACGGACCACTTTCGCTTAGCAAACAGGGATCTTCGAGCGGTTGACTTGGATGTGCCACAGCGCTTGCGCAGATGCGTCACACAAGCGGTGTGCAGCTTGTCGGGCACTAAGAGCACTTTCTAATCAATTTGGCAAGTTGCACGCAGCCCTGCAATGGGAAGGGCACGCATGCCCGCAGGATGTCATTGCTTTGGGAGCTGCCGTCAAATCTTGCGCAGGCCGTGCTCATGCCCGTGTATCTTGTTGTGGGTCATGTAGGCCGGGCACCTCGCAGAATCCAAGCCCTGCAGCCTCAAGCCTGAATCATGGCCATCCAACCAGTGGCGAAGTGGCAGCGGCGGCATTATAGACCGGGTGGGGGGAGGACATTGTCTTTCCAGATGCCGGACATGAGTTGCAACAAACAATGACTGAGCCAGTTCGAGCTTCAACGAAACCTCGCTGAATCTTGTCTGACCTGCTGAATGTGCTTTCCAGATCTTTCCAGCTTTAGCCTTTCATGCTGGAGCAGGGGTTGGCAAGGTATGTGTGCCAGGAGCTGGGCGCTGCAGGTCCAGTTACGATATTCTTGAATTTGGAGGGGGAAACGAATACGATTATGGATTATAAACAAATTGGGGCTTAGAAAACCCCACAGCAAACATTGTTGCAAATCTTGCAAATTCGGAAACTTTTTGAAAGAAATAAATTGTGAGAAACTTAAGTGTGGAAAGGCGCACTGTCTGCTTACATGTTGCTGGGGCACCCTTCCATATTGAAGGTGCGCGTGGGGTGAGGAAGAAAGGAGTGACAACCAGGGATGGCGCGCGGCGTGGTGATCCCCCCTTGCCTTCAGATAGTCCAGAGACGTTTGGGCGCTACATTTCTCGCCATGAAGGCATTGTTGATGGATGCGTGCTGGACCTTACCAAGTTGCCAGTGGCTTCGGCGCACTGGTTGGTGATGGAGGACAGGCCGCGCATGACCTGCAACGATCGCCATCTGCTCTGGAAAGTTGGCAAGTACGATGCACGCGAGCAGGGAGAAGCGCTTGCAGGGAGCTGTGCGAGCAGGAAGATGTTCTTGGCGAATCCCAGCCCGACTGTCAAACAACCTGTGTCTTGGCCGCGCCCTTCACCTATGCAAAGGATGTGTGGAAGTTGACTGCAGTCTGAAAGTTTTTTGCGTTCGGCGCTGGTGCTGAGTGGTATGAGAGAGCGAGAGAGTCGCTGGGAAGAAGAAGAAGAAGAACAAGAAGAAGAAAAGACAGAGAGAGAGAGAGAATGGACGGCATTCCGGGCGCGCCTTGCGCGCGGGGAGGGGTCACCCTCTTCAAGCCCCGTAGAAGAAGAACAAGAAGAAGAAGACGAAGAAGAAGAGAATGGACGGGCACGGACGCCCGGGGCCCCAACCCCACGAAAGAAAGAAAGCGAGAGAGAGAGAATGCGTGTGATGGGTTGCAGGGGTAGGGGACGCTTTGGGTTTCTCACAACGGGGGGGTCGTCCAGCTGTGCGGAAATCTCCAGTCTCCAGCGTACATTCTCACACGGACTCGGAGACCGTCTGGGCGCGCCCAGTGCGCGGGGGGTGCGTGCGCCCCTTAAGCCCCGTAGAAGAAGTAGAAGAAGAAGAATGTGTGGGTGTGTGTGTGTGCGTGGGTGAACGGAGGTTCTGATCGTGCAAAACCAGCAAGGCTGGTCAAAGTACTTGGTTGCCCCATGCCGTTGTGCGCAGACTTGGATATTCTACGTGTGGATGCTGCAGCAACTCCGCGGCAACTGCGAATGGCATGACAACTGGTTGTGGAAAGGAAACACTTCCGGCAATCGAATGGGTACCTCGCTTCACGCTTGCTCCACTTGTAACGCTGGCTTCGTCACGGAGCAAGCTGCCAAGAGCTTCCACCCCGGTGCATCCAAGCGAGTTGTACTGGGCAGATGATGTTTGCGAAGAGTTGTCAACATGAGGCAGCAGAAGAAACGCCACGCTTACTGAATGCAAAGGCATGGATGAGAGCAGTCTACACCCCGCGCACGCATGTGTGTGTGTGTGTGCGCTGCGCAGCTGTCAACGAAAGCTGCTGAGCAGACTGGCAGGTTGCACTCGTATTCATGTTTATCCTGCTCAATGGCTGCAGTCTACTTCATATACCATCACACGTGGTTGTCCATGCAGGCGCGAGCGCTTGGACAGCATCTGTTCAGCTTGTATGCAGCGCGGAGCAGCGTCGTACTCAGCAAACAGGCATGGTTTAATGTCATTGACAGTTTGATGCGGCTACTTGTCCATCAGGGCAGGCGTGGACGCGGACATGATGACGCAACCTGTTGGCAGTTCATGAACAACTTCCTGAGCTCTATGGCTTTCCGTGTGCTAGTTGGCGTCTCATGCTCTGAAGGCTGAACTCGATGCTTACAGGCACAGATATGCCGAAAAGATGGAGGCACTCAAAGGGCAGTTCTGCTAACCAAGACTGCATAGACCGACATTCCACTGATTTCATAGCGCCCGAGACTCATATTGATGGTTCATCTGTCCGGGATCTCAAGACATCTTGCGTTGCTTTTGCCCATACTTTCTGCATAGTAGGGAATCCAGCCAAGAATCCGAGCGAGCACTCGTATCTCAGGAGACTCCAACGGCAGGCTCCCACGTCCGTTAGCTGTAGGGTGTGGTCGAAGCAAAGATTTTCCTTTTCTCATTGGATTTGGGTATCCAATGTATCCAATCCCTGAAACAAAAGCTCGCAAAAACCCAGACGACAAAATTGGTAGCACGGGTTGCAACCCAAGCGAATCTGAAAAAGAATAGGAACATGCTTCGAGAGGTCTTTCCTTCTAGTGAGACTTCCGCACGAGTACCAAACAAACGTTGGCAACTTACCTCTGGCATCGGATGCAGCTGGCATGGACGAAGTCTAGTCTTTTAGACCTTGCGCGCAGGCTTGCACTGGGCATCTTGGACCTTCAGAGGCTGCCAACTTCTCAATGGCTTCCGGTGTGTGAACAAGTTATGTTCGTTGTTCAGGCATGGCCTGCTACCAGACATTATCTCGTGCCCCTCGTTTCTTTCCAGATCACTTCCTGCAACTGGGGCCGCGCAGCCAAGCTTGAGCTACAGATGCTGACAGGTATAGCACGGGGTCCGCGGCATGTTCTTTGGCCGGTCATTGGAACATGGTCGGCAGCTGAGTTTTGCAAATATAAAGTACGAACGCTGTGAGTGCCACACCTTGCAACACATTCAATCCCAAATAGGCCGGATCTGGCAGAAAAGTCTGCCCAACAGCTTAATCAAGCTTTGTTTAACCCGTCACGTACACTAATGCTCAACATGGCATTCCGACAGTTTTTGCCTCCCGCATCTGCCCGCAAGCTTCTGACGCCCGAGCATCCGTTGCTTTTCCATTCTCAAGCTTTGGATGCAAATCCCGCTCGTCGCACAGTGGGCAGAAATTGCATCTAGTAGCATGTGATGGCTCAGGTTTGCAAACTCTGTAGCGAGTTCAGCACCTGTGGGCTGGAGCCAGGACCCAAGATGCAAACACTTTGGCTATCTCCCGATTCTGTGAGACGACACTAGGCAGGACGTCACGATGCTCAGCACAGCTGTAACGGCATTCGAGAAGGCCCCATGCTCCGCGCTTTGTGGTTGACCTCCAAGACGAAGCGGCCATCTCTATTGAAAGCTAGCCTTTGAAGCCCGTTGATTCTTCAATCTGTTCAGTGACAGGCCTCACAATGGGAACGGAGCTTGTGCACATTCGCGAATGGTCGGCAAGTGCGTCGGCTTGCTCTTGACAGGATGGACCGGGGTGGCTCCGCTTCTACTGCAGTCCAAAAAGGCATACGTGTTGCATGTAAAGAGCACTTTCTACTACGCGTCCCAGCCAAACCTGATGGCGAAACCCGCTTTGGGCTACGCAGAATCCTGCTCCTACAAAAACCCCAGACACCCAATTATCCTATTTTTGGCTTCTACTTGCTACGGCAATACTGGACTTACTGGACTTGCTGCAGAGGACGTGTTGTACCCTTTAACACTAAGCCAATGCCGTCACAGCCCCTTCTTGGTACTGCCTCCTCTCTGAGCTCCTCTTGCGTTCTTCCCCTCGTGCTGCCTCTATCCTTCCCATCAACCCTCTGCCATACTCCTGCGGTCTGATCCGTACTCCTTCTGCTTCTTCTGTCTCACCGTCGGTTCGCGACGTCCGCCACCAACCTTGCTATGACGTTCCGCAACACATCAGCCAATGATGTGTGAGAAACTTAAACATATATATATATATATCAATATCATACATCTCTGACAGAAAGCATATGGTTCGGGGTGTCAGGAATCAGAAGTTAGTCTTAGGGCTCTGTGGCACAGTTGCGGCACCACAGTTTCCAGTCGCCAGCAGCTACTGCTGTTTGAGCATGTCTCAGATGTGTCCTGTGATCACCTGTGCCCCTGTGCAGGTCGCATGTTTCCTGATGCCTTGACTGTTGACACTTGCATCTTCATACTCCTGATGCACCTAGAAAGCCCCTTCCATGAGATTCCTGCCGAGCCTGTGGGGTTTGTTTGTCTTGTATCACGCATGAAGCTGGCGAGATTGTCCGGATCCCAGTATTAAAAACAGGGCCTTGTTTTTTGGGTTAGCCTCTCGGCCTCAGTACGCCCGGAAAAAGGCTACAGGTACGACTGGGGCCCTTGCTCAGATTCTGATAGATTCTGTGGAAGTTCCCTTCCCTAAGCCCCGAACCCTAACCTTGTTGAACTTTAAACTTGACTCGAGTGGAATTGACGTATATTGACGTCTCCGAGGCTGTTGTCATTCTTCACTAAGAGTAATCGTTCTTGTTGTCGTGTTACTTATGACGGTTGCGAGAATTCTGTTTTTCCTTTTTTATGTGGTCAGGGACACAGCCACGCCCCCTAAATTTCCCTGGACTTTCAACCCTTCGTAGTCCTAGGAGGAGACCTCCCGCACCCCGTGCCTAACGGCGCGGTCTTCTCCTCTCTCCTCTCTCCTCTCTCCTCTCTCCTCTCTCCTCTCTCCTCTCTCCTCTCTCGTCCCTCCCTCTCCCTCTTCCGCTCCCTTTCGCATCCTTCCCTTCTTCCTCTTTCTCTTTTTGTTTCTCGCTCTCTCTTTTTCCAGCAGCTCAGAAGCCGCAGGCATGCCTTCAATGCAGCTGCCAGCGCTTGCGCCACGGGACAGCAACCCGAATTGGCTGCGCGTACTGTGCAGGCGACTCGGGACGGGCGTCGTAATTTCATATACTTTCCTGACGAGCTTAACGGGACAACATGGCACGAGCGAATCTGCACATGGACAGGAAATGAAGAGTTTGACGATTCAACCAGACGTTCCGTGGAAGAGTTTCGTTCAGTTGCTGTGCATGACATTCGCACCATGCAAACGCTTTAATGGAACAGGTTGTGTTAGAGCTGAGGTTTTCTCTTTCGGTGCTTTGGTGACTTCAAGCGAGAAGAGCCAGCTTTGGCAACGGGCAACAAACCTGTTGCAAGTCGGCCTCTCGCAAGGCACGCAACGGGCTCCTGAAGAGCTTCCATCCTCTTAGGCAGCGTCCAGGAGTCCGAGTCTAGTTAAACCCTGCACAACGTGCCTTGCAAGAACTGGCGCAGCGTGAATTCCTTGCCACCCAGTAGCCCCAGCGAGGCACCCAAGTAACCAGCAGCCTAAATTCAGCACAACAAGAAAACCTGGACCAGCGGGCACCCAAGTAAGTAGCCACAGGCCCAGCAGGGTACCCAAGTAGTCAGCAGCCCGAACACAACGCAAGTAGGGCACGATTCTTCCTCTTGCCTCAGTGACCCACGCAAGTCCGCAGGTATCTGTGACGTCGTTCTGGCCAGCTCGACCATCAGCGCGTGCGAGAAGGTGGGGCGTTAGCGCAAAGAGAGTGCAACAGAAGCCGGCTGCGTTTGCTATTTGTCGAAGTGGTCCGCACCGGCTCCACCCACATCACAAAACCCTCTTGAAACATGGGCAAAATCTCTTTCCTGCGAGCCCGAATGCAGAGGTGGAAACTGTTAGTGAGCTGCTGGAACAGATTCCGCAGAGCACGGTAACGGATAATGTGTTCACAAGGGCCAAAATCGATGACCCTGAAACAGTCAGGAACTGAAACAAGGACTGAGATCAGGCTTCGAGGTGTACCAGGCAAAGAGAGAGCAGGCCAGAAATGCGGGCCTGGCAGGAATCAAGGCTTTTGGCTTCATGTACCAGCAGCATCTGTATCAGCGTGTCCTGTGCGGTCCACCAGAAGCTCTGGCGGATGCCCTTGAATGCGTGCGCCAAATCTGACGCTCTCCCGCTGTGATTCCCGAGAATGTTCCAGGTAAGCCATTACTAAACTTAAACTAATGTCACCAAGGTGTCTCTACAGTGTCTGTCAGCTTGTGCAGAACGTACATGGAGTACATTTGTGCTTCTTGGAGGCCGCAAGGTGGCGCTGGGCCGTGGAGCTGGCGGCGACGCTGCGATCGGGTTTTCCCAAAGGCCTTCGGCCGAACGATGTTTTCTACAACGCCTTGATCAGTGCATGTGCTTCAGCTGGTCAATGGCAATTGGCTTTGCAGTTCTTGGATGAGATGCCACAGCTGGCAGTGCAAACGAGCATCGTGTCCTACAATGCTGCAGCGGAGGCGTGCCAGAGAGCGTTGTCTTGGGCTGGTGCGATTGGCATTCTGCGCCGAATGCGTGCGCGGGCAGTGCAGACGGATGTCATCACACTGTCCCTTCTGGCTCCACCTTGCATCTTTGCAAGCCAGTTTAACGTCTTGCCGGGACTTACCTCTCAAATGGTGGGTTTTTCTAAAGCTCCTTTACAAGCACAGCACACAATCACCGCAATCGAGTTCCTGACCGAGCATGCCTGCTTGCCGGAACGGGCTTTCCAGTCTTTTGCGCGCTTGGAGTGGAAAGTTCTTGTTCGCAAGCTACGAGAGCTCTGCGCACCCAAGTTTTCACTGCATGCAGCAGAGAGGACATCCCTCAGGCTGTTGGATTGCAGCTTGAATCGGTATTTCACACTGGGCATGCATTTTGTCGACAAGACATTGGGCAGCCTCTTCGCACAGGACCCACATCCCTCCTGGAGCGGGTGCGGACGTGTTACTGCGAGGCGCTTGACGGCGGAACATGCGGAACGTAGCTTGGAAACCTCTTTGGCTCTGGAAGATGAAGCCAGCGCCCATGGTTTGGCCACCTGGATCCAGCGCTCCGTGGCAAGCCTGGCAAGCTCGAAGACTGGAATTGCTGGAAGACAACTCGAATCTGATGGTTTTGCAGGCGTGTTCGGCTATGGCAGCGCTTGTGCTGCACAGTCCTGGCTTCTCCCGGTGAATGTGCAGCACGATCGCTCCAGGCCTGGTGCACCCAGTCGGCTGCTTCACTGCTGCTTCCCTCGCTGCGGTAGCGAATCCCGAAATAGACGGCAATAAACCTCAAACTTAACTTTAAACGCCCCCGTGATGGGAGTTACGTGTGTATGGCAGCGCAGGGAAGCAAATCCCGTGTCAGAACTCATGCGCACAGCCTTGCGAAACAGCTTGCCCTCAAGGAGAGGTAGAAGGTGGGGTGGGAAGACAAGAATTTTTCAAAAGGTGCAGATTGTGCAAACGTGCAAACCTGGAGGGTGGAAAAATTTCGGTCAAATGTTGCCCCTCCGGAGAGCAGCACTGGGGGCCCTTTCCGTGCATCGCAAGATCCATGATGTCAATGTGTAGCCAGCGTGTAGCTGTGTAACTGTCGGCGTAGACCACTACTGCAACCCGTGCTTTCGTCAGAGACCGGTGTCAGTATGCAGGCATTCTGAGCGGCTGGCGTTGCTAGGCATCCTTCACCGCGAGATGACCACAAAAAGGCCGAAGGAGCAGCCAGGCGCGAGGTGGGCGAAGTGGCCGAGGTGGCGGTGTTCAGTTGCTCAGGTCAGCCGCTTCGGGTATGTCAAGTTAAGAAGGCGGCCTTCATACCGATTCATTGCACGGGGTGCTTGTATAATGTCATTGCGCATCAAATCTGCCGAATAAGAGAGGTGACGAGCACGTTGTCGCTGAAGCGCAGTCTGCAGCGCTCAGCTGTCGTGCTTTTAGGAATGGGTAGTGAACGTGCACCTGCCTGTGCCCCACTGCGCCTTCATCAAAAGTTGACAAGCATGAGTCAGCCAGCAGATGGAAGCTAGTCAAGAGGCGATGGCCGGGCTGCGGCAACACAGCAAGTGCAGAGTGCATGCGCCAATCGTCTTCATCTACGTGTGTAGTAGCACACTGCACACTGCCGCACATCGGAAGATCCTTTCCCTACCTATGGGCCCCATGTGCCAGCAGCGAATCTATGCAAAAGCCAATCAAAACCATGCAAAGCTCAGCCTTTGCGCAAGTGCCGGCCATGCCATGCCGCCGATGGACATCCTGAAATGCAGACTTTGACTTGGGAACCTCCCTCACTTCGGTCTCCAAATGTCTTGAGGCGAGAAAAAAGGTGAGAGCTCAACATGAGCAAGAGACGGCTCGTTCAAGTTTGGGTTTTTCGCAGGCCTCGGCGCGTGGAGCACTCGAAGCCGGTGGCAAAAGCTGCAGCATGCAACTTGGGCCAATTTGTGCGAGCAAATGCCACCTCCAATCCACCTTCTAGTCAAACTCCAAGAGGCATGATATGGCAAAGCATGGCATAGCAGGGCATAGCAGGGTCTACAACGGAGTGCCATGTTTGGGGAGGAGTCAGAGCCAAGAGGTGGCAACTGTAGAATGAAAGGGTCCACACGCAAGTTGACTCTCCGCCTGCCAGCTTCGCAAATTCAATGCGACTTTCAAGGAGTAGCGACTGCGTTGTGGAGTTGGTGTGTGAAGGCTGCGCGCGTATGGATGCAAAAACAGCTATGTCATAATTCTGTAGATGTCAGAACCCTGTGTCCCTCAGAACGGGTGCTAAAGGAGCGCGTACATCTTGTACTGATGCTGTCACTACAGAACCAGACCGACCATGAACCACCACAATGGCAAAAAGTTGCACCTCTGTACCTGTTCAAAGGTATAGCGCTGACGGCGCTGACTCAGTATGTAGCGCTCCCGGGCATCGGAAAGCGGAGACGGCGAATGAAGCAGGCAGCGGGCTGAAACGCCAATGTGAATCCGCGGTGAGCTGCTTGACAGGCTCGCGTACTACGAAGAGTTCGGGAGCTGACACCAACCATCGAGCGCTGGTCTCTGGCTTCGCAGGGCACCCCTCGAGCTGAGGACATCTTTGACTGGTTGCCGAATCCATGTCTTTCATATGTGGGCCTTTTACACTTTTGGAGGATGACCCTGACGGGCAGGTTATGGCACAGGCGCCTGGATGCTGAAATATGCCGGTTCGTGAGGACAGCTTCTTTGATGTCCGTACCACACACTGCTGAACCCATGCAAGGTTACTCAACTGTGGGAAGGCTTGGAACCGAAGCTCATGTATTTGCCGCTTCCTCAGACATTGCAACAGGTTTGTTGCTGGTCTCACTTAAGCGGTGGCTTCGGTTCCGAGGCCAAGAGAAGATCGCCTTCGTGCTTTATCCGCACTTTGTGTGGCAGCGTGCCATAGCTGAACCAGGAGAGAGTTATGGAGTTTCAGCAAAGCACAAACATTCGGTTATCAGATTTGTTGCTCGACTCTGCACAATTCGCTGCAGAAAGCAGAGACCATGTGCCGTTCATGAAATCCACCAGTCTACCAAGCTTTGTGCTTGGAAAGCGCTGCTGAACAGAGAAGGGGGCGCTCGCATGAGCCCGCAGCCCGTCGAGAGCACGGGACCAGAGAATGTGTAGACTGGCAGGCGACATAGATAACAGGAGCTGCAGGTGGTCTCAGATTGGGAGCGTTTGTGAGGCTGGGACGGAGGGGTTTTACAGGGATATTGGTATGGTAAGGACCCAGCAAAAAGAATCACCATGATTGAATTGACTTGCCAGGAAGAGTGCGAAGTCACGTTTAATACAGCATGGAACGAAAGAACAAGACAAGGACACCAGGCTGTTACCAAAGGTTTGGGTTTTACATCCGAGTCCCAAACTTACAAACGCTTCCTGGCACACCTTGAGACCCGAACTGTTGTATCTTGCTTCATCACTGTCGCTCAGTCCTGATTTAGCTGGAAACGCTCCTCCCAGAATTTCTGGTCAGAAAAGGAGGGAAAACTCGGTAAGCATTAAAGGAATGCATAAACGGCAAGACGAATACTTGGCGCACATGAACATCGAGAAAGCGTACCAGTGGATGAAAGAAGTACACCCTTAGTATCAGCAGCCTTTTCTCCGTTCAGTCTTATCATTCCTTATCCAGAGAAGAGCACATTTTCTGGTTAAAGAAAAAGCAAATTCAAAATATGTTACGGCACACGAGGCACCATGTACTCCCAGATCTCCTGCAACGGTTCCGAGAACTATTCCTGTCGGACCCGAACATCGTTTTAAAGGCTGTGAGAAGCAGACAGAGCAAGTTTTAGGGTGCAAGAATGATGGGTTGCAACAAATCAAACGCAAGAAGTTTGATGGGAAAAGTTGTGGGGGGAGGGGAGGGGGCCAACACATATATTGTGTCTTCGGAGCACGTGAAGCATTCACTTCGCTCGGTACATATCAAATCATCACATTGCATAGCTTAGCGAAGGGTTTTTCAGCGGATGGTCTTCGTCCTCGAAACTCTGGGTGCAAACGACGACCTTGAGGGGGAGAATCCGTGTTTTTGTTTGTTTGTGGGTCCTTTTTTGCTGTGGCGTTGTTTTTCAGGGCCCGCCCCGGTGAGTGAGTGACCTGGCGCGCATCCCCCCGCACCCGCAACCAAAATAAAACGTGCCCCGCACCCGCAGCAACGAAAACGAGCCCCCACACCCGCAGCAAAACGCAAAACGCCCCCCACTTCCCCCCCACCCCCCCCCCCCCCCCCCCCCCCGGACCCGAAGCAACAAAAAGAAACAGGCCAGTCCTCTCCACCCCCCAGGTTGGGGGGGGAGGGGGAGGGGGGGCCCCTGCTCTTTTAAACCGTGCAAGCATGCTTCAAATGGTTTTTTTAAACCCATCATGCGAGCACAGCGTTTGCAAATCGAGGGGGGCACGAGCTTGCTTTAACACATATGAAGGCGGACTTCGATCTCCTCTATATATATATATGTGTGAAGAAGCAAACCTCTAGCTATGGTATGACAGGAGAACATCAATCCCGTAAAATTCATAGGAAACTGTATTTTCTTCTGTGATGTAGTAGCAAAGCATCTATCTGCCACTTTTTTACTAGGAAAACCTTTATGTCCTTTACATTTCAGTATGGCTTTTGTTCAGTTCCTCGTATTTCCTCCAAAACTTCTCAGGAACGCTTCTGTTTCAAATTCTGACAGCTGTTTCTGGGAAAGCCTCTAGTTCCTTTGTTTGGTTTGACAGGAAGCCCGAAAGAAACAAAGGTCAAATCGCCAAAAAATGCTTAAACTAGTTCCTCGCCCCTACTCTCTTGGCCTTTAGACAGAGGTTGTCCGATTGTCACATAATCGATGAACATGTAAAGACAACAGAGGGGTAAAAATGTTGCATCTAGAGAAGTTAGAGGAACAGGTTTTCTAGTAACATATAGAGGCTTTAGGGTTAGATGTATATATAAACGTATGTATTTCAGGGAAATGGAGGTTTCTGTTTGAATATAGCCTATGGGCATAAAGGAAATCCAGGTTTCCACTGAGGACTTTTGTCTTCTCTTGAAACACAGAGAATATGTTGTTTTCCTATCACGATTAAAGAAAAGACATGGTTTCCTCTCAACACCAGAGAAAATTAGCGTTTCTATGGGGTGTCTTACTTGTCTGCCCCACGCCTCCTCGCAGCCGCAGCAAGACCGCACCTGCATAAAGAACGCTCCCCCCCCACCCCCTCCCCGCACCTGCAGCAAAGAACAAGTAACAAACCCCCCCCCCCCACCCACACTAGAGATGGCAGCTGGCCGTTCTTCCGTAAATTGTTCTTCCTAACCTCTTCCTCAGCCATCTGAGATCTACAGAAGAAAGTAAAAGACGCAGTTGACCCCTTGTCCATACCAACACAAGAATGGGATTTCAACTTGAGGTTGGCACACGATGGCCAGATGCGGAAGTCCGGAGAGCCTTACATTGTGCATCCTGTTGCTGTGGCAGCTTGTCCGCAAAGGCAGATTCAACCCCATGATGCAGTCCTCGTGCTCAGCGAGGGGTTTGTACCAAGATGGTCATTCCTCAGGCAGAGCTACTGGCGTTGCTGAAGGCACAGGGCCACACCTCTGATCGGTCATTGTCTTGTGGTAGACGCTCGAATTGTTGAGTCTAAGTTGGATCAACGTCTCCTTGCATGTAGTTCAGCCATGCGTTGGTTGCCGATATCGGTTCGGTTGAACGTGCTCGCGTTGAAACAGCGTGCACGCAAAACTGGGCTTTTTCCGCTTGGGACAAAAGGGGCTATAGGTTGGTCTGCGGCACGTCTGCTCTCGAAGCGCGGTTCTCCTAGACGCGGCGCGGCACACATGTTGGGTTGGAATCGCACTCTCACCCTAGCCTCCGTTAGGTCAACATGCGGGTTTTTTGGCCTTGTCATTTGCGTCGCAGATCAAAATCTGTAGATCGTCCCATCTGCCAGATCGTACCGAAGCCATGGTCCAAACCACGTTCCCGCCACAGTCACGTGATGTCACGTGCACATGTAGGCCGTTAAGACGCTCAGTGTCGCAAACTGCTCGACATCACACCTGCTTCAACTGCAGTCTCCCATGCGCACGCTAGGTGTTTAATGGTGTCCACATGTCACACCCAACAGAAGATCACAGGAACACTGGTTTCGCCCTAGACGAGGGAACATGTGATGCGAGAGGTGCAGGTGGACGTCATCGTTGGCGGCTTGCTTTCAGGCTGCAATGAAGTTTTTGTGCTGGAACCACTCTTTCAACCCTCTTGCTTGGGGGCAACCCCGGTAGTACCCCTCTTCCCCCCCTTGTTAGTTTGTGGGCTCGAGGTTAGGGTTTTCGAGCTTTGGCTCAGGGCCTTTCATTTTGCCCCCGCTGGGATCACGAAAGGAACATCTGTGGAACGCCCCAAAAGCATCCTGGGTAAGATGCTCCTGGCTGATTTGGCTGGAGAGCCAAGCAAAAAGCGCGGGAAGCGGCGAGATGGACTCGAAGAACCTGTTGAAGTAGATGCATGTGGATGCTTTGTTGGATTCTGTTGCTTGATTTTGAGTTGATTTTGTGTTGATTGATTTTGTGGTTATGCGGGCTTCATCAAAGATTTGTTCATGGCAGGCTGAGATCGGAAGCCCAGGCAAATTCATCGCGAAATGCATGACACAATTGCCGCACCTCGTATTCATCAATCCTCCCTGGCGGCTTCCGAGCGCACATGCACATGCACGCACACGCACGCACGCACACACACACACACATGTCTCTCACTTAATCTTACACACTCACCCATCCACCCACCCGCCCTCCCTCCCACCCACCCACCCACCCATGCGCACATGCGCACGCCCGCACTCATGCAAGCAGACATGCCTGCACGTGCCGCACGTGCGGGCACACGCGCACACCACACTGCTCCCTGCCTGAAACCTATTGCTCATTCTTATTTGGGTTTATATTTTTGGGGGGCCCAGGTTTAAGTGAGGCACACGGGTTGCACACCCGCGAAACCCGACCGAAACATACCCCCGAAAAATACCCCGTAACATGCCCCCGAAATTGCAGGTGAAGTAGCTCATGATGCCGTGAAACATTTCCGAAACATACCCGTGAAACATACCCTGATCTCAACACTTGTCGCCCGCCCCCCCATTATAACACAAACTATTTCGGGGTTGAACTCAAGCATTCGGAAGCGACACTTGCCGGAACAAGGGGCCTTAAGTGCCACCAACGCCCTTCTCATTTAGAAGTTGCTGTGGTTGTGCCACAAACACATCAGAGCACCCGAGCGCCCGGGGACGCATGGGGAGTCCGCAAAGTTTTGCCGAGGCTTCATGACACTGTCGAAGACAACCCAAACATTCACTTCGAGGACTTGGAGGAGATCTTCGGGCCCGACGTCCGTCGCCCTTGGACGTGCATATTAGAAGCTCCGGAAAGCTCACACGCTATCAGCCAACGTGGCAGCAAAATGACGTTTTGTGTATCAGCCGCTAAGCATGCCAAGGCATCGTGGAAGGAGAGACAAAGGCTTCAAAGCGGACGGCATTGGGCGGACGTGGTGACTGGAGCCGACGCTACACATCTCTGTCCAGCGCTTTCGCCGTGCGGGCTATGAGTTGTTGAGCTTGACCACCATTCGAACACAGAAGAAGGACAGCGCCTGATGATGCAAACACAAAGGTTTAACATCTTCTTTGGCAAGCAGACACCTTCATCCACATCGAGAGATGTTGGCAAGGCCCGAGAACAAGCAGAAAATCTGCGAGAGCAGTCCTCAGATCTGTCACGCAGCACATGCACTCTCATGCAGACTTCCTGAGACGGACAAAATGTCGCACCAAAAGCACATGCAGGGCATTCCAACTCTGCGGGCAGTTGCTCAATATCCTTTGGCACATTGACGTTGGCTGCTGGCCCAGACATCGAACGGGCACAACTAAGGACATGTTTCTGGCCATGGCTGATGACTATCGCGTCATCCTGGTGAAGCTTGCAGTTCATGTCTCAGCACGGCAGCATTCGCATTTTCAGGATCAAGCGGCCACTACAGCTACAGTAGAAATTGACCAAAAAGACCACCCAGGATCGCTTGCACAACATGCGCACCCTCCAGTTCATGCAGCTTGGTGCCAGAGCAGTTGGGTGGAGCGTTTGGCAGCACTTTTTACTTTTTCAGAGAGAGAGAGAGAGCAAGCGGAGAGACCAAAGATGCTATAAGCAGCAAATGTTTGTTTGTTCCCACGCCGCCCTCAGAAGGTGTGGCGCCCAAGCGAATTTTTGTCCAAGACGCAAATCACAAAAAGAGCCCAAATGCAGCTTGTTGTGCAAGCATTTTCAGGCGCAAAAAAAATATTCCACTTCAAAGACAAAGATTTTCGGGAAGAAAACCTATAAGGCATGGTCAATTACAGGGGCTTGCACGTCCCTGTGCAGGTTTCAGGGTACCCATAAAGCGACAGACGGGTGGAGAACGCAAGTGTTCTTCGGGAGCAGCACGACAACCAGCAAATAGCACTCAACATCGACAACCTGCTTTGAACCACTTTGTTGGATCATGTTGGGTCTACTTTTGACACGCAACGATGCCATCTAACAAGTCGACAATGTTGCCTGTGTCGATGGCTCCGAATCAGAAGGTATGCAGGTGGCCCGAATGGGCTGCAAACGTCGCAGGTTAGACTCGCATGCATCAAAACCGTCTAGGCAGGCAACCTACCCAAATCAAGTGCTGAGGCCGGAGAGGAAGCGCAAGACGATCGCAGCAGAAACGCTTGCAGCTTTCATGCACCCCAGACGTTCGCTCAGTTGTTTTTGTTAGTCAGGTTTGCCACCGCTGAACTCGTGTCTCAGGTGGTTTTTGCACAGCTTGCGCACCGGCTTGGTGTGTGGCTGTTCAAAACCGAGCTCGAGGATTTGTATTCGCCTGAGAACCAGCACACTTGGCCCGAGGGAAAACGAGCATGACGCACCACAGCACCAAGCACGGCACCCGAGGTCTTTCAAGTATCTTTACCCGACTGCCTCTTGAAGTGATAGTTCTTGCGACACCAGCCACAGAGCTATCTCAGCAGCTGAGGAGTTTCGTCGACTCGACAAGCTGCTTAGCATGAGGCGGGCACAGATTCTTGAATGCAATTCATAAGCCGACGCGCAGCATGACGTCGTCACTGAAGAAAATTCAAACAACAAGTGTGTCAAACTTGTGGCGCGTTTGGTGTAAGGTACACATCAACTTTGGCGGCAGCCACGCATGATTTTTCTGAGATCCTGAGGCAGGGGTTGTTCGGAACCTCGGGATGTCTCAAAAGACTCACTGCAGTTGCTGGACGTCCCTGAAGGGAAGATGCGACTTTCAAGGAGCGCAATATCAGGCTAGAGATTACCGGAAGGGAGCGGCTGGCTTGAGAGTCAAGATCTCCATGTAAGCCACTGCAGTTAATGCATACCATAGCTCTGTAGGTTCTCGCAGCTAAGGAAAGGCATGTATTCGCTATGGGAGAAGATGCGCAGAAACGCAAAATACCAAAACAACATTGCCTTTTGATTTAAGAGCCCATTGCCGTAAGGATATCTGCACAAAGAGGAAGGAAGTCAGACTTCAACACGCTAAGGACAATATTGATGACATCATCGCGCTCCGAGTGGTGCTGGATATTGAACGGTACGAAAATGAAAGCGATGATGAGTTCTCAAAGCGTGGAGCTAGCTTTTGCTACCATGCCTTGACTTTGGTGCGGAAGCTCCCGAACTGGTCAGGCTCCCTGACTGCACGTGATCATGGTAATACGTGTCCTGACAGACCGCCCAACATGACTTGCACAGACTGTGGTGCAAGACGAAAACCGACCTGCGTGCCAAATGCAGCAGCAATAGACTCAGACTTCATTGTTAGACTTCTACACACCTCGATAGTTTTGACTTGTCTCACGGCTGCAAACTTCCAAGGAGGCGAAAGTCTCAAGAACTACATTGCTTTCCCGAAGCCAAACGGTGCGGTACGCGATTCGATGTTGCTGATCATTTCTGTGCTTCATAAGGGGGCGATGCAATTTGTGGCAGTGGCAGGTTACCAATCACTGCATGTGACCTTCATTCATCATGATGCTCCAGTGCCTTTGGAAATACAGATTCGAACCCGGCAAATGCACGAAGTTGCCGAGTCCAAGCCTCAGAAAGAACATGAACAGTGACCGTGTGTCCAGAAGATAGGGAGACCCTGCAGGATAAATATGTGGGCCTTTGCTGAAGCAGTACCGTGCCGAGGTACGGCATGGCTGCACATTGGGTTTACAAGGACGAGCAGCGAGATGACGGTGAGCAATGCAAGACCATGCCTTAGCAACTGACGAAGTAGCGTGTGCACGCAGAAGCCATGCATGCACTATGTAAGCACGTGTAAACGGCACAGCCCTACTGTGTGTCATTGCCATCGTGCGCATGCGAAACTTGTGTCAGCACTTCAACAATCAGCAGCATTCAGCACCCCAGTCTCCACTCTAGGTCCAAGATGCGCAGCCGACGAGTCGCATGGTTGGAGTCACTTGCAGACAAAGCGGCTGGGGCCAAAAGCTAGCCAGAGCAGACAGCAGGAGCCTTTGTAAGCTTATCCTCAGGATGGAGATTTGCGAAAAGATGCGCAACAGTTCGTTGAAGAGGCGCGGCACCACTTCATACACCTGCCAGCGGAAGAAGCCTGCCCGGACAGGTTTTGCGTGATGAGCTGGGGAGAAGGTGCATTTGCAAAAGCTGTTCGTGTAAACCTGCTGATTGACTTATTAACCGCCGACACTTGGGGTTCTTTCAGTTCCTACTGTAGTAAAGCAGCACTGGCTTCAAGAAAATGAATCCGACAGCAACGCCACTGTTTGTCGTCGTACCCATCGTGGTCCATGCATCTCTCTTCGACTCAGTCATCACAGCCTGCAACCCAATGACGCCACTGAGAGTGTACAGTAGCGAGAGAGAGAGAGAGAAAAAAATTTAAAAATAAAACAGAAGCAGTTATGAGTTTTGACCATAAGTTTGCATCTGCATCGCGACATCCCCCCCCGCAGAGCACAAAGGTCCCACAGCAAATCCTTCTTTCATCAAGACTGCAAGCTTGAACAAATGCATGCCACTAACGCGCCATCGGCAAAATGTTGAGCCAAAAGTGGTTTGGGGCCGACGTGGTTGACCTCCTGGTCATCTTGGCAGCTCCCACGGCGATCAACGGGGCGAAGCGACCACTCAAAGCAGAGCCTTGGCGATCCCGGGAATATTTGGACAGACCGCTGTGACATCAGCCTATTCGAGTCTATTGTGGCGATAGCGCAGAAAGTGCTTTCCGAACCCTATGGTTTCCTGAGATTCCTGAGAGCACGGACTTAATCGTTGGCAGACGCGTGCACTTCTCGGCCAGGAAAAGCGTTCGCATCAATCACTCATCAATTCCTACCCCCGAGATCCCTCAGATCCACAATATCTAAAGAAGTGTGCCCAATCGCAACAGATGCTCATACCACTACATCACTACATGCAACGAGGTGCTTTGTCTTCTTGAGAGATGGAACTATCATGAATTTATCAAGCTACTCGGCTGCGCCTTTGAGGAGTGGAATGTCGGTCGCAAAGAAAGCTTTTGGCGTAAACTTGTTGAGAGCTGAGGAGGCTGCACTGCGCTGGACGCTGCCTTCAAGATTCATTCTGAGGTGCCACGCTACGCATCGCAGCAGTGCCAACTCACAGTCAGATGAAAGATCAACTTTAGGTTGGGCTGCACATGGTGCACGCCGTGATAAATGACAAGAAGGCCGGGTCTCCAGCAAAAGTTTTACATGATGCATCCCACATTGATGCCATTGTGAGAAAGAGGAAAGGTGCAATTGTTTCTTTCAGGTGCCTCCTTTCTATCAGCTCCAGAATGGGGACCGTGCCTTTCACCGCTGTTAAGACAAGGTTTGGACCAGCAGACAACCCTTTCTTAGACTAGGTCAGATGAGTTACGTTCACAGCAGGCTGGCATTATGGTTTGTGAGGGATCATGCTCAGACGTCTTCCTGATATTGAACGGAGTTGCAACTCGGCTGGGCCCCCCCATGGCCAAGGCGTCAACATCGTTACATCGGATGATGCTTCCCCGCCGAGAGAATGGTTTCATAGCTGCAACAACAGCAGCAAGCGTGACCTGAAGTGCGCCGCAACTCCTTTCCATGGAGGTTGGCATACGCATTTCTTCGATCCACACGGAACAAACTTGCTGCCTATTTTAGAAGAAGCAAGAAGGACCTGCAAAGTGATGTTCCCCAGGCTTCAGTACACGAGAAAAGCACACAACAATTGCAGGACAAAGAACGTGCAGTTGATCTCGCGGCAGCTTTGGCGACAGCTGCGACAGCAGCAGCTGCAATACCACTCGTGCACTGAGGCATTTTGCAGATTGTTCAGAATCATGGCAAGTCTGGAATCTGAAGGCAAGCAACAAAGTATTTCATTCGTGCGTAAGACATAGCTGCTTTCGAGCTGTCGTGCTCATAAAAGTTTGGCAGGGCCTGTTTCACCGGAGTTGCGACTTTTTTCATTCTGCGCACTGTCCGATGCAAGAGGTTGATGACGTACAACTTCTTGCAAGGGGCATGTTGATAACTATCGCGCCGCAGTTTGGTCACCCCCTGCCCCGAAAGCCATTAAACGGCCGTGGACAGCTGATGTCTTTTGAAACTGCAGAAGATTCAAGGATGCATTGGGAGGGTGGACTGCGATGAGGGCGACCTTTCAGCTGACTGAGATGCGGCATCGGGCAGACATGTGTGCAAATCAATTGGTTAGCCACTGGCTCGCCTTCGCAGAGATGGTTTCATCACTGTACACACTGTATGCGTAAGAGTGCATCGTTGGAGATGCCCCAAGCCATGTCTACAAGATGAGCAACAGACCAGCTTGAGGGTGCTAACTCTAAACTTTGCACGGCGGTTTGCGCAGGCCGTGCTTGAAAAAGACGCGCACCGGCAAAGCGGCTGCAAGGCACCGATGCGCTCTACACCATACGGCATAGCACCGCCTTTCAATGTGTTAAATGTCAACGAGAACCCTCTTTGTTGGAGATTAATTAATTCTCATCTCCCATCTTTGGCTCTCGGATAATAGCATAATAAAATCCTAGCCAGCGAACTTCATTTGTAAGAAATGTAAT